TCACTGTGCCTGCAGTGAGTCAGGTGTCCCACCCACCTCCAGCTGATCCCCAGGGCGGTGGCCCCATTCTGCCAAACGGTGTCACAGGCCTATGAATGACAGCACACAACCCTGTTCTCTGTGTAGAGGCCGAACCTTTCTCAGCTGTTCTGGTGCCAGGGAGGTGGGTATCAGGCAGGCTTGGGCGGGACCTGTCAGCACGTGGAGCACGGGCGTGTCCAGCCTGGAGTTGTCCAGCCCCTTCTGGCGATTGACTTGATGAGTTCCTGCCTCGATTTCCCCATGCCCCCTTGGTTCTGACAGCCAGGTGGCCTCCTGATGCTCCTGGAAGGCCTTAAAAAGGTCCTGTGATTCTCTATAGGAGGGCAACAGCAGACCCCACACTTGCCTCGTGGTACGGGGCGCTTAAGGGGGGGGCGGGGTGAGAAGTAGCAGGCAAGTCAGTGGAGTGTAGTTCAGCGAACAGCGCCCTGAGCGTGTGGTCGTGATAGGCACGGGGCAGGTCCCTTAGGCCCCCCGGCTCTGGCGCAGGGCCTGAGCCAGCCTGCCCACCCGTCGGCACATTGTCCATGGCCCCCATTGTCCCTTGGCGCTGAGGTAAGGCTGGGCCTCCCCCAGCTCCGTCCAGACGGCGGACTAATGTATTAACTGCCTCCGTTTCCACCGCCCCCCCCATAATCGGTTGCCTTAATCAGAAGCATGGTTGACATTCTGGCTTTTGGGACCACCAGGTCCCGTTGTGTGATTTGTCCCATTCTCGAGTTAAAGAGACACTGTCACCTTCCGTATTTTGGGGCAGCCTTTGCCATCGTTGACGGGTCTCCTCTAAGCCGGAGTTAGGCTTGTGTCCTGCAAGAGCCCTTCCCCGGGGAGTCCCAAGCCTGGTTGCCCCCACGCCTCTGCCCACAAAGGGGCTTTAGACGAGCGTCCCAGACCACAGAGCAGCAGTGGGACTCCTGGAGTCCGGCGCTGGGGAGCTGGCGGGGTTGGGGGGTGGGGGTCCTGAGCTCAGCTGCCCTGGCAGGAGGCTCTGGGCACGGAGCACACAGTGACGAGGGGGAGCCCAAGGTCCGGCCTTTCTTGAGCGCCTGGTGCGGGGTTGGGCATTTTTGCTTCAAGGCGAAGGGTCGGCATGAGGTTGGCAAGGGCGACAGTGTCACTTTAATCCCGAGACTTGTAGTGGAGCTAGTTTGCTGTGAGGCTGAGGGGGACCCGAGGGGGCATGCAGGGAGGGGTGGGTCACGCTGGCACCTCCCAGCCACCCGCTCCTAATGGCGTGAACGCGGTCGGACTGCTCCTCTGCTTCAACTAACACATGCCTCCCTGGGACCCCGACTCCGGCCCCGCCTGGCACCAGGGGAGAGGGGACGGGACCTGTGTGGAGGCCGCCACCAGGGCCCCCCGGGGCTGACCCTCCTCTTCTCTCCCGTGCCCGACGGGCTCTTACAGGTATTTCCCCTCGAGCCCCGGCCTGGCCGTGCCCTGCCCACGTGCCGCCGGCCCGTCACCATCTCTGTTCATCCCTGCGCCACCCGGCTTCCTGCCGCTCACCAGCCAGCAGCTGTTCCGGTCCCCTCGACGGGCCTCGCCCTCCTCACTGCCAGGCCGCCTCAGCCGGGCCCTCTCGCTGGGAACCATACCGTCTCTGACTCGGGCAGGTAAGAGGCGCTCCGGCATGGGCAGGCAGGGGGCGGGCGGGAGGGCGGTGAGAGCTCGTGCTGTAGAGACGGGCAGAGCCGGAGTCCGATCCGGGTGCATCCCCTCCAACTGCCTCTAGTCAAGGGTCTTCACCGCTGGGAGGGTGGTCATAGCAGTAGAGCCTGCCTGTGGGTGTTTGTGCCGAACGAGGTGATGCATGTCAAGTACTAAGGGCAGCGGACACGCGGTTGATGTCCCCACACGTTGGGGGCTGCCTCCTAACCACCATTCTCACTGTTGTTATTGTTGCCGGTGTTTGGAGACCTCGAGGGCTGGAAGGTTTGCCCCCGGCCTTTTATGTCAACCAGAGGGCAGGGGCGTGTTCGGATCAGCCGCCTTTATTGAGCATGTGCTGCTCGTGGGCTCTGGCGTGCCTGAGACCTGGTCCTTGTCACAAGAGACTTTGTCTCCTCCTTCATCTTTTCTAGCGGGATCTTCCCGGGAAGTCAGTTATAAGTTACATCCAGTTTTTCCTCCTCATCGCCCTTCGCTCTTGGGGAAGCCACCTGGGCGGCCTGGGGTGTGTCCTGGGGCCTGGCTCCCTGGGTCACAGCTTTGGGAATACCCAAATATGCCACCAGGCAGCATCCCACCCTCCAAGAATGTAGGCAGCATCTTGGTTAAACCGGGCGTTGTAAGGGCACCTGTGGGGGCTCAGCAGGTTGAGCGCCTGACTTCAGCTCAGGTCATGATCTCACGGTTTGTGGGTTCAAGCCCCACGTCGGGCTCTGTGCTGACAGCTCGGAGCCTGGAGCCTGTTTCAGATTCTCTGTCTCCCTCTCTTTGTCCCTTCCCTGCGTGTGCTCTGTCTCTCTTCCTCAGAAATAAACATTCCAAAAAAAAAAATGAAATGACTGGGGCGCCTGGCTGGCTCAATCAGTAGAGCATGCAACTCTTGATCTCAGGGTCGTGAGTTCAAGCCCTAAGTTGAATGTGGAACCTAATTTAAAAAAAAAAAAAAAAGCAGTGAATGTCCCACAGGGTGAAAGGCAGGGACTGGGCCTCCGAGAGGCACCTCCCTGCTCCTTCAGTTCCTGTAGAGCAAACGCAGGGCTGAGAAACCGAAGCACCCACCACCGCCCTTCCCTCTGGAGAAAAGCCCACCAGCTTCCGGTCTGACGGGGACAAAATGAGGGGGCTCAGACTTCCCCATCTGTAGGCTGGGCTCAGTGATAATACACACATCGTGGGGTGGTTGTGAGCCTCTGGTGCGGGCAGCCAAGTGTCCAGAGCCAGCAGCTGCGAGCAGCCAGGCAGGCCCCTGGGAGGGTCTAATGTGGACGGCTGTGCCTCAGGGCTGAGGTAGGCATGGTATCAGGGAAGCTTCTAGAACAAGGCCCTCAGCAAACACAGCTGCTGGCATTAGTATGGGGTGAGAATCCCGGTAACAGCAACGCCCAGAGGCTTAGCTCCTCCCAGGCGGTTAAAGGCCATTTTGCTTGTACCCCGAGTTGACAGTAGGGTGGCTTTCCTTTCCCCCTAAGCAGAGCTGTCCTCCTCCGTCCCCGGTGGCTCTCGAGTAGACCGTGGGGAGGGGCCGGCTGAAGCCTGGGGCGTCGGGAGCAGCTCTGCCCTGGGCCCCACCCTCCTGGGAGGACCCTCCGTGCTCCCCAGCCAGGGCGGCTGGGCTGAGGGCCTTCCATTTCAGGCCCCCGGGGAGGGAGGAGGGTGGCATCCCAGCAGCTGCTGCCGATGACCGAGGTCTCCCTGTAGCCCTGGAAGACCTGAGGCAAGGGGGCTCAGGAGTGGCCCCGCCCCGAGGCGGCAGAGCAGTTCTGTGGGCGCAGGCTGGTCTTGGAATGTCCACTGCCAGGAGGGACCCCAGGGTCTCCACTGCCGGGGGCCTTCAGGCTGAGTTTCTGCAGCTCCTTGGCTCAGGTAACCAGGAGGCGCTGGTGGTCTGGGGCCCGGGCACTGGGCCAGGTTCTAGTTTCCTGTGTCCTTCTCTCCCTACTCGCCCCTGCGCCTCCCTGTTGTAGGCCTCATCCCTGCGTCCCTACAGCTCACACCCAGCAAAGAGACTGCTCTCCTAGCATCCATAACAGCTTCTGGAAAGGACTCTGTGCCTGGGCCCCGTGGCCACCCTTACCAAGACACATGGGTTGGCCTGGATCTGTGTCCCGGGGCCTAGGGGAGGGAAGGGGCAGCAGTGTGCTGTGACCAAGGGACCCTTAGGGCCCCAAGGGGGATGGAACTGTAGCCGCTCGTGGCGGCACCCGGTGGATCTTTCCACAGTCCGCTCTCGGCTGAGCAGTGGGGGCGCACAGGATACATGGGGTGTAGTCGCTGCCCGTGGGGTGCACTCGACTGAGGAAGAGCAGTGTGTCCGGTGTTCCCTGAGGGCCCACGCAGGCCGGTAGGCACAGGTAGTGGAGGGGCAGGACCCCAGAAAGAGCAGGCTGTGGGGGGGTGGGGGCGGGGGCGGGTGTTGGTTTTTTTAATCCCCGAGATGAGAGCAGGCCCGGAGGATCTCCGACAGTAGTTAAGGGAGTCGGTTGAGAGCTTGTGTTTTCAAGAAAGCTCGGCCCAAGTGACAAAGGCTGGATCCCAGCAGAGCGGGCGGGGTCGGGGGGGGTTGGAGAGTGGAGAGGGCGGGTGGCGGTCATCGCCACGGGCCTGACGTGCCCCCTCATCTTTCCTCCAGACTCAGGCTACCTGTTCAGTGGGAGCCGCCCACCGTCTCAGGCGTCTCGATCTGGAGAGGTTCCCGTTCCAGGTGAGGAGGGTGGGGGCGCGTGGGCCGGGCTTTCCAGAGCCCCCCGTGTAAACACGAGCTTGGGGTCCCACGGGCTTCTGTGTTCAAGTCTCAGTCCTGTGCCTCCCAGCTCCGCAGCCCTGGGCAAGCCACCAACAGCCCTGTGCCTCAGTTTCCTCTTCTGTGAAACGACCGTGGCGGTTTCTGGGATTAGCTGTCATGCTGTCACCCTTATCAGTGACGACCTGCGGAGGCCACCACCCTCGGGATCCCGCCATCAGCGCTTGGGCTAGCTGACCTTAATTAAGTCGGGAGGTGCCCTCCGGGGGCGGGGGGCCACGACTAAGGGTCTGTGATCCTCTGCCCTCCCTCAGCTCCTGGCAGGCTTCCCTCTGTCCCCCAAGTTTTGGTACAGCCTCGTCTTCCTTCTCGGGTTAACAGAGAAGCACCGGGAGCCAAACAGCCGTAGCAGGGGGGTAGCTGTGCCCAGAGCAAACGCTCACGCCCCGTTCCGTTCTTACCGTAAGTCGTCGCTTCTGTCATCCTCCCGCCCTCAGATTACTTCTCTCTCCTGTCGGGGTGCTGTGCCTCGTCCCCCCTTCCTTCCCCGGCGCCTTCCGTGGCCGGCTCCGTGGCCTCCAGCGCTGGCTCTCTGCGCCACCGCAGGCCCCTCATCAGCCCGGCCCGGCTCAACCTGAAGGGGCAGAAGCTGCTGCTGTTCCCGTCGCCCCCCGGGGAGGGCCCCAGCACCCCCAGCAGCTCCGACGAGCACTCGCCCCACAACGGCAGCCTCTTCTCCATCGAGCCGCCCCAGGTGCCACAGCGATCGCCGGCGCAGGACACGAAGCTCACTGTGGGTACGACATCCCCCCACACCCCCCCGCCCCCGGCTGCCCTCCCAGGAGGCGGGAGAACCCAGCGGGGCCATGACCGCGTCAGGACAGCCCTGCGGGCAGCCGCACGGGGCCTGTCCTTGCTCTTATCTGAGCGTGTGCAGCCGCTCTCCCAAGCTCCAGCCGCTCCTGGCCTGGCTCCTGGTGACCTTGAACCCTCCAAGACATGGCCTTCCATTAGTTGGTTTTATTTTTTTCTTTGGCAGTTGACCTTGAGGGTCCTTTGTTCCTTGGGATGGATCAAAAACACATCGCACCCTGCTTGGCTGCGTGCATCTGGTCCCATGTGTTTTTGTTTTGCTCAAACGATGCTGTTGTGTAAAGCACTTCTCAAGTTTTTAAACTAGGGCTTTACCTTTAAATTTTCAAACTTTCACTTGACTGTGTGGATTTCCTGCGTCTCACACACTGTCAGAGGGTCTGGCCACAGTGGGTCTGAATTCTGGCCAGACAGGCCACGGGCAGCCTCTGCCACCCTGTGCCCCGCCTCCAGAAGCCTCCCTGTGGCACCATCCGCCACTGCCTGTTGGCGACGGACTTCGCTGCTGCTGATCTATAACCGGCTCCCTGCACGGCAGCCACGCGGCCGGGAGAGGTGCATGGACCTGGCGTCCCCTGGCCCTGGGCTAGGGCAGGCGGGCTGGGATGGGCACGGCTGCCCGCATCCGAGGACTGACCCAGGACTGGGGGTGGACCTGGCCCACGGCTGTCCCTGGGGTGAGCCGTGAGCCCCCTGAGACACCCCCTCTCTCTGCAGACATGAGGTCGATGCCAGAAAGAGGCAGTGCCTGCAGCGGCCGGTCCATCAAGAAAGAGGACGACTCCTCTCAGTCATCCACGTGCGTGGTGGACACCACCACGCAGGGGTGCGTGGAGGAGGCCGCCGCCTGGAAAGGTCTGTGCTCTGATTGGGAAGGGAGTGGGGCGGCAGGGGTGGGGGGGGCAGGGGGCTACGGATCCGCAGCCACCGTCACCTCCTGGTCCGTCTGGGACCCTGAGAGAGCAAGCCCTCCAGGGCCCTCAAGAGGACAGTTAGCTCACCCACCCAGGCCTTCTGGGTCCTGCTACGACCCGGCGCACGGCACGCCCACCCTAGGATCAGGCCCCCCATCCCGCAGGAGGCCGCAGGGAGCTGTTTACGTTGAACAGAATTAGCATTTCGTAACAGTAAAAACCGAGTTCCTCAGCTTTTCCGGCCGCGTTTCAGGTACCCGTTGGCCCATGTGGGCGGTGGCCCGGTGGCGCCTGGGTCGCCAGCACGGGTTCAGGGAGGACGCTGGCTGGACGGTCGGTCACGAGGGGAGTCTTTCTGCAAAGGTGGCTCCCCATCTTTGGAGCTGGCTGAAGTGGGTGCTGCCCCCAGAGCACAGACCTGGGGCGGGAAACCCAGTCTGAGAGCCTGGGCTGGGCATCGCTCCTCTAAAGCGTCTGTTTCCTGTCTGTCCTGGGGGGTCGTGCCCCGAGGCCCCCTCATGGGGTCAAGTACAGCGCATCCAGTACTCGCCTGGTAGCATGGGCTCAGGAAATGAGGTGCATTCTGGGAGGCAGGACTTGACCTGCCGACCCTGGGTTCTGGGGTCTTTCTGGGCCCCAAGGGGCCACAGCTGCGTTTCCGGTGGGCGGGGCCGGTGGTCCGCTATGCAGGGAACCTTTAACCGGGTCTCCTCTCTCTCTCTCTCTCTCTCTCTCTCTCTCTCTCTCTCTCTCTCTCTCTCAGGTCGTGTTGGGCCCTCCCTGGTCCGGGGCCTCCTGGCCGTGAGCTTGGCCGCCAACGTTCTCTTCACTTCGGCCTACCTGTACCAGGTGCTGCGCTGACCCACGGCCCCCGGTGCCCAGAGGGTCTTGGAGACGCCCAGGTGCATGCTGCTTCCACCACTGCCGGCCTCAGGGCCCTTGCGCGGGGCTCCGCCATCCTCTCCAGGGCCTCTGACCTCGCCGGGCCGGGCCCGCCCTCGGGACCCCTGCTCCTCACCTGGCCGACCGCAGGGCTGAGCACGTCCGCGGGGTCACTCTCCCTGCCCGTCTCCTTGGCTGACATCAGTTGTGTTTGGTGCTGACCCTGATCCTGAAGCCAGGGATCCCCTCTGGGCCGCAGGACATGGGGGGCCCCCTCCCTGCTGCCCGGCCCGCCCGGCGGGAGTGCCACTGCTGTAGCCCCGGCGGAGCGGGCTGCCTCCGGACCCCGTGCTGCGGGCTGTGACCGCATCTCGTACTGTATCCCCCTGTCCCTCTGCAGCTGCCTCCGCTTCCCGGGGCGGGGGTGGGGGCGGAGGGATGGTCCCTGTGTCATCGCTCGCACCCCTGCCTGGGGAAGAGCAGACCCCTTGGGCAGGCCCCCTTGAGGATGGACACCACCTGCCCGTGTCTCCCTGCGTCCTGTCGGCCCCCTGGCTCTCCTGGGGGGGCAGGCGGGTACTGGGGGCCCAGGGCCCCTCAGAGTTCCAGTGTAAGCGCCCCCTGCTCCCGGCCAGCCTCCCCTCCGCCCGCTTGTGCCCCTATTTTATTACCTCTCGGTACCTCCCTGGGCAGCAGCCCGTTCCACTACCCAGGGCCCACCCTGCCCCGCTGCCGGGCCTGCGCTTCTGGGCCCTTCCCTCACGCACTGCCCACGGGGGCCTTGCTCCAGCCCCCAGCCTGCCCCGCGGGACGGGCCCAGCACAGCCTGCAGGGCTGGGTGAGAGCCGGTCCCCGCCCTGCCTGGGCCTGGCCCCTCAGCCCCTGAGGCCCTGCGTTCCTCCCTCTCATCCTGCGGCCTCGTTTCCAGGCCCCCCGGGCTGGCTTCCTTCCCCACTCCACGCCCCCCCCCCAGACCCTGCCACCTGCTCCTACAGCCTTGCCCCCCCGCCCCTGTGCTGGGGTCCCGTCCTGGCCCCCGAGAGGAGGGAGGAGGGCCCTCGCTCTGGCACCCACGGAGGGATTGGCCGTCGCGGTGACTCCCGAGACATGGTGGCTGGGGGGACGGGTGGCGGTCGTGAGGGCAAAGAGGAAGGGTCTTTATCATTCAGGGATAAAGTTTAATTTTATTTTTCTACACATTTTTGCCAGGTAAGGCGCTCTGCTGGTGAGCAGGACGCCGCCCGTTCTCCCTGCCAGGGAGGTTTCGTTTTTTTAAGCCTTGGGTGCTTTTTTAGTAATTTTTTTTACCATGTGGGGAAGGAGTCGCTCTGACTCTCCCTCGCTCCTCGTCCCCCCACTCCTGTCCGGAGAGCTGTTTCCCGCCCTGCCCCCCACCCCGGGACACGGGGGGTGGGGGGCCGGGGGCCGCACCAGGACCCCGAGTCCAACTGCCAGAGATGGTCCCACCTTGGAGATGGTGCTCCTTGGCCCCCGTTTGTACAGTGGGCACGCGTGTCGGGTTTTTAAATTTTATTTTTTGCCTAACAAAGCCAAACTCCATTCCCAAGTACCCTTCCTCTGTGGCTCTGAGGAAGCCCCAACAGGCTCTCCTCCCCTCGGCCCCCCTGCCCAGGCCTGGAGGCCCCGGCGCCCTGCAGGGGCAGGGGAGAGGGGGACGGGGGCTTACTTACGTTTTGTTTCAAAGGAAAAACACAACCTTATTTTTCTTTACTAAAGCAAAAAAAAAAAAAAAAAGATACCAACCTTTGAACTATACCCCTTAGCCTGTCTCTTATTCTGTTCCCGGGGGCGGCTCAGGCCGGGGGAAGGGTCCTGGTGCAGCTGGAAGTGATTTCACTCCTCTCGGCGGGGCAGCGTTGAGGGTGGGGTCTGGGGGGCTCCCCGTCCCCAGAGAGCTCGGATCCGAACAGGAGACCAGCGCGGGAGGGGCGAGCGGAAGCTTGCTGGGCAGGGAACCGAGGGCAGCATGAGCCAGGGCCCCAGCAGGAAAGCCTGTCCCGGCCGGCAGTGCCCGCCCAGCCTGCCCCCGGCGCTGCAGGGCCAAACACCTTGTGTTCTGAGCCCGCTGGGAACGGCCCCCATCCCCCCAGCAGCCGGGCTTGGCATCGGGCCCTGGGGGTGCACAGCCCCTCCAGGTGAGGAGACCCAGCTTCAGGCCCGACCTGGGCAGGTGCAGGGTGGGCCCGGAGAAAGCACTCGAAGGGACCTCGCTGGACAGAGGCAGAGCCAGGAGACCAGGGACAGGGCCCAGGGTTGGACCTCCTAAGTGTGTCAAATGCACGAGCTCACATGTACAGGCCGCCCAGTGGCTGCCGGGACTGTGACTCGAAGTAACAGGATGATCAGACCACGGCACACGCCGCAGAGGCGCAGCCCCGAGGGGAGGGGGGGGTGGGGGGAGCTCCCCAGCAGGCATTCGGGAGGGGGCCGGGCTGGGCCAGTCACTGCTCCCAGAAGCTGGCCCTCGGGGGTGGCAGGTGGAACTTCAAACAGACCCCGGAGGTCACTGATGCCGAGGCTCCTTCTGGCCCGAAGCCGTGACCGACCACCTGCAGGGAGTGCGCGCCGCATCCCCTGCGTCCCCTCACCTCACCCCAGGGTCCCCAGCCTGTGCTGTGGCAGAGTCAGTCCCACTGCATTGTTCTTACTGACGTTTTCTGTTGTTTCCTTATAAAAGGGAAACCTGTTTGTTGTAGAGAATCCGGAACTAGCAAGAAAGACCGTGCCCCAGGGTCCCACAGCTGAAGCGCGGCCCCACTCTTGCCCCCCACGTGTCTACATACATACACTTTTACAAGAACAGGGTCTTTCTGGACCCAACACTTTGTCACTTTATTCCTCTCCTGGCTCCGTCATACACCTACCCCATGCCGTCAAGCGAGCTCTCAGCCGCCCAGAGGCTGCGTCCACGCAGCCTGGTCTATTTCCCGGCCTGCTGAGATGAAGACGCGTCCACTCTCCCCTCTTTCATAACTGGGGCCTCCGGAAATCTCTCCGTACGGACCTGCGGCTTTTGTAGTTCAGGCTTTTCTATGTGTTGTCTGGTTGCTTTCTGGAAAGTGCAGAAAACTATGTTGTCGTGTGGTTTGCACTGGTGGGTTTTGGATTTTTTTTCCCCCCTCCAAAAGTCCTAAGCTGACTTTTGCTTTGCAGACCTGCCCCCGGTCACCCGACAGCTTACATGGGGGGATGGGCAGATGATCAGGTTGGAGTTGTGTAATACTTGTGCCGAGAGAACATGGGAGTAGGTGAGAGGTGGGGGGCAGGCTGCCTGGCACCCTCCCCCCCTTTATGTGCTGGGCTGCACTTGAGTTGTAGGTCAGGAAAAGTTCTGATCTTTTAAAAAGTTCCGGAAATCACCCCAGCATCCCCATCCCCCCCTTACCAATAAGTCGTGTGACAAGGGGACCCTTCCGTGCAGCAGGAGCGAAAGGACCTAGTTCATCTGACCCTTCCCAGAGGTGACAAGAGGTGAGAGCCACCCCACCCCCACGGAGGACACAGCTGGGGGTCCAGAGTGGCTCTGCCGCTGCGAAGTTTTTTTATGTCGTAGCAACTCAGGACATTTTGCTACTGGGGGTGGGAATGGGGAAAGGCACCGGGGTACAGCCAGCTTGATTTTGAGGCCACCATGGGATTGTGCTCTTTGCCAGCTTTGTGTTTATGCACCGCCCCCCCCTTCACTAAGTGAGAGCTGGGTCGCAGTGACAGAAGAGAGAGACCCAGGATTTCCACAGCATGTTCTTTCCTTCATTCCTCAGTCTCTGGTCAGATTTACGCGATAAGTATTATGGTGCCCGTCACGTGTGCACGGCTGTGCCAGGCACTGGGGCTACAGTGGTGGGCAAAATGGTGATGCCCTTGTTGCAGGGAGCCCACCCAGAGCAGGAGGCTGGCCTGGGCAAGCATACAGTCCACTCATCCGCAGTGGGAGGCCTGTGAAGTAATGGGACGCCGGTGTCTCCAGTGTGAATATTCAGGATACCAGACATGAAGCTTACGGACAAGATGGAGATCACTGTACGCAGGAGTCAGTGCTTGTGTAAAGGCCCTGGGGCCAGCTTTCAAGGAATTGAAAGGTTAGTATGTCAAGAGCCCAGGAGAGAGGAGAGCAGAAGGTCATCTATGAAAGACTGTTGGGCATTTAGATTTCATCCTAAGAACAAAGGGAAAGCCAGTGCCGCATTCAAGCACGGTAGTCACGGGAGCAAATGCGCATTTTCAAAGGGTCGCTCAGCAGAATATGAAGACTGGGTTGGAAGAGCACAAGAATGGAATGATGGGGGCGCCTGGGTGGCTCAGTCGGGGAAGCGTCCGAGTCCGGCTCAGGTCATGATCTCATGATTTGTGGGTTCTAGCCCCGCGTCGGGTTCTCTACTGTCAGCTTAAAGTCTGCTTCGGATGGCCCCCTCCTGATGTAGGGAAACCGGGAGGGGCACAGGGGAGAGCATGGGTTTGAAAATTCAGCTTTGAGCACTTGCATTGGATGCTTTGGAGATAACCGGTGGACACCTGTCCCTGCTGCGCCCTGGAGCCCCCCCGCCCCCAACTGCAAGCCTCAGGCACCGCTCAAAGGCCACCTGCTTTGAGAGGCCGCTGCGGCCTGGATTCCCGCCATTCTCCTCAGTGTCCCGCTGCTTCCATTCAGTTACAGGTGGCGGCCGCGTCCCCTTCAGAAGGGTGACTTCCTTGAGACCAGAGACCTTGGCTCATAGCGGAGGCTCTCTAAATATTGTTGAATGAATGAATGAATGAATGAATGAATGAATGAACGAACGAACAAACGAATAAGAATGAATGAATGAAACGTCCACCAGGAAGCTGGCGTGCAGGTATTTCCAGGTCTCACTCTGAGGAGAGGGGACAGGAGACGCGTCGGCCTCCCTGAAGCCGGGGGAGACTACCTGATGCTCCCTGCAGCTGAGGCTTGACATCACCGGCTTTGGTGCGACCCTCATGGAACCGGATGACAGAACAAGAGCAGACACAGAGGGGGGTGAGCTGGGGGCTGAACCGAGGCCAGGCCCCCAGGGGGCTTGAGGCTGGGCACATTCCATCTGGGGGGGGTATATTCCATCTCGGGGGGGCATATTCCATCTGGGGGGGCATATTCCATCTCGGGGGGGCACATTCCATCTCGGGGGGGCATATTCCATCTCGGGGGGGCATATTCCATCTCGGGGGGCACATTCCTGTCCCCCCGAGGTTTGCAGTGCTGGGGTTGGGGGGCCAGGAGGAGACAGGATGAAAGGCACAGTCACCAATAATGAACTGCTGTCAAAAGAAAATATCACGTAGGACAGCAGAGGCCAGGAAGCAGCCAAAGCCCCTTCCCACCCTGAAAACCCACGACCCCAGGCGGGCGGGGAGGGCTGTTTGAGGTGGGGGCTGGACCGAGGGTGGCAGAGGGCTGGTCTGAGGGAGGGGTCCTGAGGATCTGTATCATTTTAGGTTGCAAAGGGCTGCATGACACAATTTTTGACCCTTCTCCCCGAGTGGCACCTGGGTGCTATAGGGTCCCCAGGCCATGAGGCCGGGTGCGCGTGTAGCAGGGTGGAAGCGCACCTCCAATCTCACACTGGAAGTCACTGGGGAACGGGTCTGACCTTGGCAGTTTTGACTTCCTGGGTTCATTCAGAGGTGAGGCTCCTGTACTGGGGGGATCCGACGGTCAGGGAGGGGGGAATCTCTCAGGAGGAGGAGGAGAGCACAGGCATTTGGAAATGTCCTGACTGGTCTGGCCACCGAACTGCTGTGACCCTAACAAAGATAAGGGAGACAGGCTGGACCTGGGGCTGCGGGGAGGGACCTCACCGGACAGTGGCGTTGCCGGCCAGCAGGGAGGCATCACTGAGAGGAGTGCAGGGGCGGACAGACGGCCTCCCTTCGAGGCCCCAAGGTCACCCCAGGAATGGCCCTCCAACCTCAGAGGGAGCCTGCAGGCTGTGGGCGGACAGAACCAGGGTTGAAGCCTCTGGAGTATTTGTCCTGACCCCCTACATCCACAGAAGAACCTGATGTTAATTAACAAAGCTTAGGAGCTGATGGGGACCAGGCTTCCCGCTGGGTCGGCACAAGCCCTGGGGGTTGGAAGGAAACCTCAGAGAACTGAGTTGTTCTCCAGAAAAAAGCAGGTAAGAAGTTGCCCAGAAAAAGCATATAGGACGTCTAAGTCCCCCTGGGACAGAAGAGGTGACACCTCTATTGTAAGCTGTTGGGGTTCACAGGCAGCAATTCCGGGTGTGACTCCTGGGGCTTTCTCTGTCCCCACTCAGTGCAGTAAGTCTCCCAATGCAGGGCTAGGGGTGCAGGTGAGACTCTCGTGTGGATTCTGAAGACGGAAAGAGTTTTCAGGGGGTGATTTTTTAAAAATTTTGTTTATGTCTTCATTTTATTTTGAGAGACAGAGACAGAGAGCGAGCAGGGGATGGCAGAGAGAGAAGGAGTCACAGAATCTGAAGCAGGCTCCAGGCTCTGAGCTGTCAGCACAGAGTCGGGCGCAGGGCTTGAACCCACAAACTTTGAGATCATGACCTGAGCCGAAGTCGGAAGCTTAACCAATTGAGCTACCCAGGTGCCCCAGTGGTGATCTTTTTTTAACTTTATGTATTTCTCTTGAGAGAGACTGAGACAGCACAAGTGGAAGAGCAGAGAAAGAGAGAGGGAGAGAGAGAATCCCAAGCAGCCTCCAAGCTGTCAACGCAGAGCCCGACACTGGGCTCGAACCCACGAACCATGAGATCATGACCTGGCCGAAGTCAGACGCCAAACCGACTGAGCCACCCAGGCGCCCCTGACTCTTACTTTTAATACTAGTAGAGGGGCACCTGGGTGGCTCAGTCAGCTGGTTAAGCATTGGACTCTTGATTTTGGCTCTCACAGTTTTATGGGATTGAGATCCATGTGAGGATTGGCCCCAATGGTGTGGAGCCTGCTTGGGATTCTCTCTCTCCTTCTCTCTCTGCCCCTCCATTCACTTGCATGCCCTCTCTCTCTCTCTCTCTCTGTCTCTCACAATAAATAAATATTAAAAAAAAGAAGAAATTTAGGGGCACCTGGTGGCTCAGTGGGTTGAGCATCCAACTTCAGCTCAGATCTCACCGTTTGTTCGAGCCCCACATCAGGCTCGCTGCTGTCAGTGTAGAGCCTGCTTCTGATCATCTGCTCACCTCTCTCTCTTTCCCTCCTGCTCACACTCTTGCTCTCAAAAATAAATTAAAACTTTAAAAAAATTGAATAGTATTGGAAATCCCCAGATTAATCCACCCAAACACTACACATTAGCATGAATCCACATTGCAGGGCCCCAGTGCCTTCCCAGCGAGGAGACGCAGGGTTTCCCCTTCTCGGCTTGCGGCAGATCTGCCCCAGGAAGGAAAATGGAGTTAAGCGTGTGGTTTTCTGAGGTCAATTTTATGGCAAAGCCTAGTACAGAGCGGCCGTCACTGTATTTTATGGCCGGGGCATTTCATGACCTTGAGTCCTCCCCACAGCTGCCGAGAGGTTTGCTGAGCTGGGATTTCGTCTAAAGATTTAGTTTTCTTTTTGCCGAGACACCGACAATTTGTCATGAACTTGCAGCTTCCACACTCACTGTGGTCGGGCTTGAGGAACAAGCTTCTCTATTTTGACTTTATAAATAGTAAAGATGGGAAGCTGAATTAATATTTCATTTTTATGTGGCCCCTTTGCTCAAACCTGCCAAGTTACCAACTGCATTCGCTGATGACTTACAAAAGGGCTGATATAAACGTCCCCAGGTGACCCCTTGGCACCATCAAGCGGTCCAGGAAAAGACCAAATTAGCCGGTCCCCTGTTCTGCCTTTATGCTGAGTAAACAGCAGGCTTAAGTTCCATTTATTTATTTATTTATTTATTTATTTATTTATTTTTTTGTTTTTACTTATTTGAGAGAGAGAGCAGAAGAGGGGTAGAGGGAGGGGGAGAAAGAGAGAGAGGGAAAGCAGGCTCCACACTCAGCGCAGAGCCCGACGCAGGGCTCGATCCCACGACCCCAGAATCATGACCCAACCAAAATCAAGAGTCAGACT